CGTGGCGGGCATATAAATCAGTCGCGCGTGCCGTTACCTAAAACTAAATAAATACCTATTTAACAAATCAACCGGATATTTAACATATTCTTTATTTCTTTGCATCTTCTCGTCCTAACGTGATAGAACGTCATGCAAGCTATTTACGTGGCATGAAAATAACATATATCTATATTCATTTCACAATCAATTCATTATTATTATAAATATATATAAAAATGAATTATTTCGACCTCCTCCTCCTCCTCCTCCCGGTATCTATTTTCAATGACGACATCGAGAATTTATTTTTTCCTTCGAAAGAATTTCGTCGAATAAATGTATGTGTCGTTCTAAAACGATTTCATCCCCTTGCGTACGAGAGAACACGTCCGTTGGTGGGTTTACCGTTGAAAAACGCTATCCTGGTACGTACGATACCGTCGTACCGTACCACTGGGACTCGTTGCAACGCGAGATAGCATAAAGCGAACTACTCCTAGTGGTATATGTACCTTTTCAACTATAATTTTCTCTTACGAGTATGGTAACAATGACATTGTTAATGATCCAATTTTTACGAACCCTGTTGTCATATAAAACGACGACGAGATAGTCAATATTTTTCTAAGGAAAATATCGAAATAAAATTGTATTAGCCGATCGCGTCTGAAATATTTCAACTCTCGTAGGAATAATAAACGAATGCATAGAAAAATGCATAGAAAAATGCATAGAAAAATGCATAGAAAAATGCATAGAAAAATGCATCGACGGTTTAGTAGCTATAGGGAAAAGAAGGTTGAAATTTGGTTAGAATTCCATTCCAAGGTTATTCCAGAGATGTGAAACAAACGAAGCGAAGTCGAGTGCCATTGTATCTTTCGAGAGGGTGGCTCGAGAGGAGCGGGATGGGACACACGCTCGATGCGGGATTCTTCCTTTTCTCTTGGTGAATTTAACGGAGCCGAAGAGGGGACGCGGGAAAGTTTAAACGATAATCGCTCCTGAATGCTCTGTTGCTTTTATTGCGGCACATAATTCCGGATCAGTGATTTATAATCCAGGCCTATGCCTTTATCGTCTCGTTAGGTAGGTACGCCAAATCTAGACGGAAAGAGAAAGACATTTTTTACTAATTTTTTCTTCAATTACTAAAGCTAAGAAGAATATCTATTGTATTTTATTATCTATTGTAGCATATATAGAACAAGAAAAAGTGGATAGAACAATGCTGGGAGGGAGGGTAAAGAGAGAAAGGGGAAGAAAAATTGGACAAACGTAATTTGTTCTTCGTTGAGTGATTGAATTTCAAGAAAAAAACTATTCGTTTTCTCTCTAGAGAGAGAGAGAGAGAGAGAGAAATTGTTCATATTGATAAAAAAGAAAGGTTAAGAAGCAACATTCGTATAAATACAAACACCCAAGGTAGGAAAAAGGAAAACGAATCCATCCGATAATCGTATTAGCGAAGGTCCGTACCGAGACGAAGCTTCCTCCTATACGAACGGATTTAAATCGACTTTGTAACCAGAATTTTGAACGATCTTAATAGCTTTTCTCCTTTCCTTTCCTTTCCTTGCTGTTTTTTCTTGCTCAGGCGTTTTTTAATTTTTCCTCGCCAGAGTCTCGAGATATCGTTTCAATAGCAAGGGGATAAATTGAAAGAACGTAGCAACCGAGTATATTCTTTCGACGTAAATGGCCGCCTTTTCCGAACTTAAACTTCAAAGGAATAAGAAGGTAGCAACCTCTCTTTTGCATCAGCGTCCTACCACCGCGCATATATCGCATTTAGGCTTGAGCGCGAAATTAATGTTCACATAGCATGTTTACATAGCACGGTACGATGATACTCGCGTGCAATACATGCATGCTCCTGCATAGAACATAGGGTGCAACTATTCCTAGGTATCTACATAGCGGTGCTCGATGATCGTAAGCTATTTTGCGAGGGCAACATTCGTCGCGAACATTCGAAAATGAAATCTGGGTCAAGCGCGGTGTGACTGCTCGATCGAGCAATACAATATTTTCTCATTACTTCTCCGACCACTAAATTTTCATCAACCTGTGAGAATAATTTGCTCAATTAATTAATGTAGCCCGGACCTTTGTCGCATAAAGTACATCTTTATAACATGCCAGAGAATATTTGTCGAACTATACATAGATAGAAGTTAGATAAGGGAGGAAATTCTCCTTTCGAGCTATTGGTCGATCATTCAATCAAATTTCAAGACTCGGTTCAAAGATATTTCATTTCCCGCTGGTGCAACAGGAGGAAACTGTGTCGCGCGACCTAAATGTCCTCGCTCGCTCTCAACCTGATGCTTTTTCAACCTTTCACTTATACCTCTCGTTGGATGGAACAAGAGGAGTTCATCCCTTTTCTGCAAAATCAGACACCCATCGAGGATCGTCGAAACCGTCAACTTTCAAAGTGCAATTTACAGCAAACCGATAGAATACCGCGCGATGTAAATCTCCAAAGTCGTCCTTTATTTCGAACAATTACGGAATTAAAGGATATTACAAAGTGTTAATGCTATTTTTCCTTGAGTAAATTAAAACGACGATAATTTTCATTTATTAATGCACCGAAAGGTTAGCATAGACGTCGGAAGGGGTTTAAATAATTTTTTATTGTCCTTTGCAAACAACCCGGGACTTCAAGGATAGCTCTCTACGCACCGCCACAAACATACACACACACACACAAACCTATTTCTAATTCGCAATAAACGATTTACAATTGCAACAAATCGTTATTTATTCATTCAAATATTCCATTTAAAACTGAAACGTGCTTCGGCAAAGGATCAAACTTATAAATATTTTGGAAAAATCATTTTTAATGGAAATAATCGAAGATGGCAGAGATCGGTTAAAATCTCCATATATTTTGATGAAATTGTTCATTGAAATTGCGTGGGAAGTTTCCACGCACGCAGATTCATATGCATTTTTGTCAACGCATAGGTACATATATATGTATTTATGTATTCGTACAAATATTGGTTTATTTTTTGTACAAACTACGTAGACTGTGAAACGAGACAGAAAAATAACTTGTTATTCTTAATTAATTGTTATCTTGTTATTCCAAGTTTAGCGTTTGGTCAATTTTTGAGCAATCAAAATTCTTCAAAATAATTTTACCAATGTTTAACGTGTAGAATGAAATGAATAAAAGGAAAGTTTCGAAGAGGAATAAAAGAGTAGGCAATAATAGAAATCACTGAGTAACCAATTTTCAATCGAACATACGGTTGACCCTGTACATTTAAGAAACTGTAGAGGAATCTATTGGTCCCTCTATCGAGAGTACTCTTCTTTGTTCGCCGATTTCCATTTCCTCGCATTGTTCCAATCGTCGTTCCTTTTCAACGACAGTCGAGAATTGAAACGAAGGAAGTAGGTATCGTGTCAGAGATATTACCGCAGGACGTAAAGAAAAGAGAGGAAAAGAGAGAGAATCGCGACATAAGATCGACAATTACCTTTTACAACAAAGATGAGAAAGGATAGAAAACGAAAGACGTTGAATGTCTCATTATTTTCATATAGAACGAATGGCAGTCGTTGGATGTCTCTTCTCAAAACGCAACTCTGCGAATCATAAAAAAGAAACGACATTGATGAAGCAAGAGAAAGGGGAGTACTCAGCTCGATAAAGAATCCAAACGAATATTATACTCGTATTCATTTCATTTTCTATTTTTTTTTTTTTTTTACCAAAGTTTTGCCCATATTTTATTATACTTTTTGTTTGTACAGGTTCGACAAAAATTTCTAGATTTGAGATCCATTTAAAAAATAAAATAAGAAGGATTTTTGTTAAATGTCGTAGGGATGGTGATTGCATAAGACACTCTATAAAGCCGATACGGTTGTACTTTAAAACGAATCGAAATAAAAAGCTACGCGTTAGAGTGATTTTCGCACAATTTGGAAATACTTTTAGAACCACCGTACTACTATCATTAAGCTCGCAATCTGTGTCATCTTCGTAGTATTCCGGTCACAGATGCAAAGCGTATCGACGAGTTGTTCGGCTTTTCTCGGCTGAAGCGCATTCTTCTTGAAGTAGGTTAAGACTAGAATTAAATTTTTCCACGGTCGAGACTTTCGGAAAAGATATCGATCTTCTTGTTCTCTCTTAAAATGGTAACCAACTGAAATTGGTCATATAATTTCGATGTTTAATCAGGCGTACCTAATAGCTAAGATAATTTCAACTATTTCTAACTTTCCGCTTCTTGATATTTCGAAATTTTCGATTCGAGGATGATAACGTATGCAAAGGGAATCTAATTAGTATCAATTAGAGATTCCCAATTGGAAACAATGACGTATGTACATGCACGATAATTGCTACGATTTGTGTGAGTCTCTCTTCCCCCCCCCCCCGTCCTCTTTCTCCGTTTAATGCATGCGAACTCATTCCTTCCTAATTAAACGTTGTTTTTAAATGTTGATAATATATAGTCATTGTGACGATCGCGTTACTCGAGCATTAGTCACCGACCGAAAAAAGTGACTTTCGTGTTTAAAACACGTGTTTCGTTTGTTACTCGAAAGAGGAAGAATAAATTAAATACGAATATAGATAGGTTGTGAAAAGAGTTTATGGATAGACGACGACGACGACGACGACGACGACGACGACGACGACGACGACGACGACACACTTTTATCCATCGAATTAGGTTGATGCATATTGTATGACTTTTCTCATTAACATCGAAAGAGAGAGCATGAATGGATGCAATGAAAATTAACATATAGATATAACGTCGTAACGTAGAATTTTGGTCTCAACGATTATTACAGGACGAAAATGAAAGAACAAATCGATAAAAATGAATGACGATATAAACGAATTAGCTAGAATGTTTGAAATTCGCGTCACTAACGATGTCCGTTGATTACGAACGCGTTATTAATAATTTTAGAATGGTTTATAGAAGAAAAACGATAAATATATATAATATTATTTGATTGTTTTTCTTTTGTAGATTTTGTAAGCAGCCCCGATCGCGTTCATTGGTAGGAATTGATGGCAGGGTTGTGCTCGTTGCGTCGAGGATCGACGCTCAGTCGTCGGTTGATCGATGATCGACGTTCGATCGGTCATTCTTACGATCGATCCTTTCTGGACGAGCCATTGCAACAAGTTTTAATCTCATCGAGACTTTACAAAAATCCCAACGTTCTATCTGCCGTAAGTATATTTTTTCCTTAAAGAAGAAAGGAAAAGCGAAAAGTAAACTACTCTCTCTCTCTCTCTTGAGAATCAAATCAAAGGATTACCTGGCACTCAAATAAGAAACGCGATAACTAAGAGCATCTTTGTAGAAATAAAATGAAATTTCTTTCTTATAAAATGGAGCTATTTCGAAATCTTGGAAAATATGAAAAATGGTATATAAAGGTAAGATAGAAGAATCTTGGGAAATTCTGTGAAACACGTTCTCGATTGAATTGGATCGTTTGGACGGAGTAGAATGATCGATGTAAGTTTGATGATAGGCAATATCAAAGGGGTTGATAAGAGCTTTCCATTAAGCGATTTCATCCTCGATTGGCAGGTCTACTACATATTTGAATTACCTAGTCTACGTATACGCGTTTACCTATAGGAGGTGAATCAACCCTCGTATCTCGACAATCAATCGCGAAATTTAGTAAATTTGTCGGTAATCGATTGTACCGTAACTCCGACAGAGTCTAGATAATCAATCGCCTTTTGCTTCGATTGCAAATCTTAAACCTAACTACTCGCTTCTATCTATCTTTAGGATATTTACCTAATATCTCGAGATTCATAGCTAGCAATATTCCTAAAACGTATAAATACATTTCATAGTTAAAACATCATAAAATGTTCAAGGTATATTCCATCAAGTTATTACGAACGAGTCGATACGAATATTTCAATATTCATACCACCATCCTTCTCATCGAAAATGATTAATCCTCTTATCAAAACTAAATTGAAGATTGGAGAAATATTCAAAGTTTTTTAATCGAGTTATCGATTATAGATATATCAATTCCTATAAACTAGTCATATACGTTATCATATTTGCTTTCCTATATCCGTTCAATATTCATTCATTTTTTCAAGTTCTACGGTTGAATCGTCGGATTGATTTTCCTTTTTTTTTCATTCGTCGATGACTTTTAACCGATAGATTGTGTATGAAAGGGAATGATTCATTCGAAAGAAATTCTTTTCAAAGCGAAAATTCGAATTCTCGATAGCCGGAAGAAAGAATCGTTCGTCGTTAAACAGAATCAAGGTAGAAATATCGAAACGAATCTTTCGTCTTCACAAGAAAGATCAAGACAGAAAGAGAGAACGAACTGACATATTTCAAGTCAAACCATTAGAAAATATCGCACGAGAAATGTGAAATAACTCGCGAAGCAATTGATCGATACTAAACGCAACTATAAATTATACTCGTCTTAGTCTTATGCAAATTTTATCCAATTTTCTTAACCTTCTTTACCAAAGGTGGTTCAAGTTTTTCAATCCCAAGATAAATGCAACCTCAGATATTTCTTAATAAGTCGCATAGGAAACTACAAAGTTAGTCGTAGAGCAAACAAAGTTTCATTTCATTAGTCCTGCAAGCGTTGAACACGGATTATGGCTGAAAAAGAAAGAAATACGACGTTCTAAGTCCAAGGAATCGAGATCATTTTGGATCATTTTCATGGATTTTTCCTTCTTTCTCTCGTCACTACTAATCGTACTCCTATATACTTATACCGGTAATATTTAGAAAAGCGCACGAACGCAAACGGATAATAACTGTTGTCACGCTATGCCATGTATCACGGCAACTCATGCGAAATGAAAAGGCTGGAGAAAAGGCTACAAGAGATACCAATTCTTTAATATCAATATAAGTATTATAGTGTTATAGAATTACTATTATTCCTTGAAATTGATTACAGTTCATACATCCAAAATTCTTCCCCAAAATTTTCTCCCAAAATTTTCTCCCAAAATTTTCTCCCAAAATTTCTACCCAGGAATATTAAATACAAATTTTGTAATTTTGTCAAATAATTCCTCCCACTCCTTTTAGTGTTAAAATAAATCTCAATGGAGGAACATTACCCGTAATGCAATTGATCGTATTATATGATCGTTCTTATCTAATCGTTATTACGGATGCGAATAAATTGTCTTCCGATCGCTTACCGTGAGCTCGATTATAAGATAGATAGGAAAAGGAATCACAAATAATCGATAATACCAACTACATAATATGTAGACGGTAAAGCATAAATCGAGTGAGAATCGACTCCGACTCTTAACGATGGAAGTGGAAATTGGATGAACGCAAAAGAGGAGAACGGTAAAGCAACTGGTAGAATGTACAATGAATGAATGTATATATATATATATATATATACATATATATATGTACGTATGCTAGTGAACAAAATTACCGTAGGACGGAATTTTCATGAGCGAAATTTCATTCGAGTCCTTCTCTCTTTCTTCTTTCTTTTTTTTTTTTTTTCTTCTTAACAACGCTCAAATTCTTCAGATAAAAGAAGAAGAAGGAGAAGAAGAAGAAGAAGAAGAAGAAGAAGTAGGAAAGGAACCGACGGCTTTATTTCAACTTTATCGTCTTTCTTTCTCAAGGTACTTCTTCTAATAATCCTCGTGGTCTTTTCTATGACTTTGAGTTTTTCCGAGAAAAGAGGAAACGAGAATTTCTCTCGAGAAAAAAGGAATAATATTCTGAGCTCTCGTAAAACTTTCCGATGGATTACGTTGGAGGAAGAAACGGAACCGAACGAAAACACGAGTGCGCGAAAAGATTTATTCGTGAGCATGAGCGAGAAAACGAATAGATGAGTAGAAAAAGGAAAATGATTTAACGGAATTGTTTGATCTTCATCGAGAAAATGTGGGTAAGGAGGGTGGGAAGCGAAAAGAGGAGGCTTCTTTATGCTTGGAAAAAAGAAGGGTGCTCTCTAATTGATCCGACAGCCACTGGTGTCTTCCGCTGACTGACGTTTATCCGTAATTAGTTGTTTCCCTTTTGACGAGAAACGAGGGGGATGGATGCACCTGTTCGCTGGATTATGGCTAAAACTTAGCCCACGTATTTTTACACTTTCCAAATTTATTTCAATCGATAGTTGCATCGTTTTTTGTTTTAATTGTTCACCTAACACATTCGTTAGAATAATATATGTACATACGTAGAAAATATAATATAGCTTATGTTAATAAAATGTCAATCTTTTCGTCCGAGGTTTCGTTTTCGAGATAATACTGTTTGAAAATGACCTTTCGGCGAAATGAATATTTATGAGAATGATGTATAATATGAAATAAAAAATAGATCGACGAGATAATTCATGGTCACGCGCGTGTTCCTACTTTTGTAATAAATCTTTCCCAGAGTAAGGAGCAATATCATGTTTTACGCTCGAAAACAGAGTTTAACGTTGAACGTACGTTTTCGTTTTTAGTCTAAGGGAGAATTAAGTAAGAGGAAGAAAAGTTGGGAAAAAGATTACAGAAAATCAGTCGTAGAAAAGAAGTCGTAGAAAAGTCGTAGAAAAGTCGTAGAAAAGTCGTAGAAATTTGTACGATCGAAAAACTGTTGGTAGTTGGAGTAGGAAATAATTGGTGCGAGTTACTTAGCGAATGAAGATGACTTAAGTTAATGAGAATTCTTTTTAAATAAATAATCCCAAGTTTTTTTTCCTTTTTTACTTTGTTTGAAACTTTCAATGAGATATTTGCCGCGTAATATAACATAGTAATACCTTTCTAATCGTTAAAGTTAGTCCTATATGCTAGATCACATATCCTATTCGTTCCTACAGCATGAAAAATCCCCATTCTCGAATCTTTGAAGCAAAGTTTTCTGCGACAATCTTGTTCTCTTTCTCATGCACACGAAGACATACTCGGTCGGTCGGTCGGTCGTTCTTTCTCTCGAATTGAAAGTTTTAAACGATAAGCACGATTGCACATTTTAGGCGGATGGATCTCTCGTCGAGCGTCACGGTGCGGAAACTCACGGATAGTACCAGGTGGTGGTGCTGCTGTTGCTTGTCGAATTTTAACGAGCAACAAATTCTACGATCTTCGATCTTTAACGATTTATTATTGTATTGAAAAGTACGCGTTCGTGCTTGCCTTCGAAAGCGCACAATACGATCGTTTAGATAAATAAAATGGCGCGGAAGGAGCAACAGCAAGGAGAACAAAAATCATGTGATTTCATGGGATTTCATGGGATTTCATGAAATCACATGGCGATCTTCAAAAGGCGACGAGATAATATTAAGTTGCGGTCTGCGAACGAATTTCTTTTCCTTTTAGTATCCAAACACTTTCCTGCTTGTTGTTTCTCATTCTACTATTAAAACATATAATCTAAACGTACGAGATCTAATATCGTACGCATTAACGATAGCATTTGACTATACTAATACTATAAATAATTGATTTAAAAACCTGTACGTTCGATCGATTCATCTATCCATCTACTCGATATTTCTACATGAATTTTTACTCGAATTTCTACTCGTTCAAAGCGATTTCTCAAAAAAGCGAAGAACGTAAACCTTATTCCATGGCAAACTTATTTAAAAGTCGCGACGCAAACTCCTATTACAAATGTTCATTCGAGCGTTAGACCAACTGTTCTTCTATAGAAATGAAAATGCGTTTCCAAGCCGTGCGCAAGCTTTAATAGCGGGGTTTACCTACCTTTCGCCTTCTGATTTATTGATTTTCGGCTTTGACCTGATGTGTGTAGTTATCAAGACCTTGAATTATTTCTGGCAAAAAGAAGTTACAAATGGTAAGGAGAAGTTCGATGGTTTTTTTCGATGGTTTTTTTCGATGCTGTTTCAGGATCCAGGCGAGCTCGTCCAAGATTCGAGAGGAGGATAAAGGTCGTCGTCTCTCGAGGGAGAAAAAAATGACCGAGACGATGTCGGAAGATACTGCCGAGGTAGTGCCGAGGAGCGAGGACTCGTGCGAGGATGCCGAAGCGCAAGGGAACTTTGGGATGCCAGGTTGGGAAGCGGCGGTGGCCTCGCTAACTCTCGGATTCATCGTTTTAGCAACGGTTCTGGGCAATTCCCTGGTAATCCTGAGCGTTTTTACCTACAGGCCCCTGAGAATAGTCCAAAACTTTTTCATCGTCTCGTTGGCGGTCGCTGATTTGGCCTTGGCGATCCTCGTAATGCCGTTCAACCTAGCTTACCTCCTCCTCGGCAAATGGATTTTCGGCATACACTTTTGCAAGCTCTGGTTGACCTGCGACGTTCTATGCTGCACCGCGAGCATTCTGAATCTCTGCGCGATAGCTCTGGACCGTTATTGGGCTATTACCGATCCAATAAATTACGCGCAAAAGCGCACGCTCAAGAGAGTCCTCGGGACGATAGCCGGGGTTTGGGTGTTATCCGGGGCGATTAGTTCGCCGCCTTTAGCGGGATGGAACGATTGGCCGGAACAATTGGAGGACGACACGCCCTGCCAATTGACCAGGAGGCAGGGCTACGTTATTTATTCGGCGCTGGGCTCCTTCTTCATCCCGTTATTTCTCATGAGTCTCGTTTACCTAGAAATTTTCCTCGCTACGAGAAAAAGATTGAGGGACCGCGCTCGGCAAAGCCGGCTCGGGGCTGTGCAATCGACGAGGCACCGAGAGGCCGAAGACGCCGAATCCGTCAGTTCGGAAACGAATCACAACGAGAGGTCGACGACGATGCCTAGAACGCACGCCAAGCCCTCGCTGATCGTCGACGACGACGACGACGACGAACCAACCGAGGTCACGACCGGCGGAGGTGGGGGCCACCCCCCGGCAGCCACCACCACCAGTGGAACCGGAAATTCTAGACGAGCTGCTTCCGGTAGCGGTCCTCCCCAAAATCCTCCGACCACTACCACGGTCTATCAATTCATCGAGGAACGCCAGAGAATCTCTCTCTCGAAGGAGAGACGCGCGGCGAGAACGCTTGGCGTCATCATGGGCGTATTCGTAGTTTGTTGGCTACCCTTCTTCCTCATGTACGTCATCGTTCCTTTTTGCCCGGCTTGCTGTCCCTCCATCAGGCTTTCCTACATCATCACGTGGCTGGGTTACTTGAATAGCGCCCTTAATCCCCTCATCTATACCATATTCAATCTCGACTACAGGCGAGCTTTTCGAAGGCTCCTGCGCATTCGCTGATCCTTTCCTTTCACTCAACTAATTTCTTTTTTATTTACCTATTTCTTTTTCCCAAAATCAAAACCGACCAATCGAGAGAACGTATCTCAGCGATATCGAGGTAACGAGTTTCCTTTAACCAGTTCTTAACTGCGTAACACTTTTTTTACATTATTACAAACTAAATCAAATAATATGTTTCCCGTTATATTACCGATGAGACTGCATTTCTTCGTTAGCTGTTCCTATACGAGTTTCATTATTTTTTCACACTTTTTCTCTTTTTAATAACTAATAAACTTTTTTCAAAGATGAATTTTGCATAAATTAAGAAAGAGAGAGCGAGAGAAAAAGTCTCGCCGACTAAAACATATATTCCAAAAAATATCGACAAAGTTGCGAGAGAGAAGCGTTCAGAAGAGTGTCTTCTTCTAAACGTTGATATTTTACATTAGTTTCAGACGAATCATTGTTCGAACGAGTAGAAAAATAATTCATTTCCTATAGATGGGGGGGGGAGATATCTTTCGTGTTAATCCGTTTTTCAAACAAAATACGAAACAAGGATAATCGGATCGTGCTCGTTTCGATCATTTCTTTTTATTCTTCTATCAAAACTTAACATCGAAAGTCCATCGGCCATGATATCGGCCATGATATCGGCCATGATATCGGTCTAATAAAAGCAAACGGGCTAGCAGGAGGAAGAGGAACAAGAACAGTCCTGCTTAAAATTTCATTCTTTACTTGTTCATTCGTATTTAACGAATAACGCGAATGACCGTGGTTAATAATTAATCCCTTCATTCTCGTATTGGTCAATTTTGAAGTTTTCGAGTCATTCTATTGTAGACTTCTTTCGTAATTGAAAAGTAACAACAAAATAGTAGAGACTATTGAATCTGTGGAAAAAGTTAGACTCTCTCTCTCTCTCTCTCTCTCTCTCTCTCTCGCAGAAATAAAGAAAATACTAAATTCGAGAAAACTGAAGCAGTATATTTCGCGAAAAATTCGTTAGTTTGCAATAGTTTCTCGATTGGAAATTCAAACAACTTTACGTACATACGTGAATATTATTATATGGTAGAGAAACAAGGAATAATGGGTGGTTCGAGACGATTATCGCGAGAAAAATTAAGAATAAAAACGAAGAGATGCGGTGAATTTTTGTGATGACCAAAAATGTCGAAAAGATGATGAGGAAAAACAAAGTTGCCGTATCGATTTATGCAAAATTCGTTTGGCAATCGACTTGCGTGTAAAGATAATTTTACGTAAATTGAGTTTGGTCAAATAAAACTAGAGTATAATCTAGATAGATAAAGTTTAACAATCTTCTAATACGCAATAAGACGAGTATGTTTGGATAAAGGAAGTGTTCGCGATCGGTGAAAATTCGCTTTTTTAAATGGTACCAACAAATGGAAAAGATATTTTCATCTTAAAACGTAGAAACGTTGGAACGTAGTAGAATCGTTCCTTTCTTTCTGCGCCCAAGAAGAGAATAGTTCTCTTGGGGAATGTTGAGAAAATAACTGGGAAGGATTCTCAGGGAAATCGATTCCGAGAGAAGAGATTTTCCAGTAGGACGATTTCGTTGACTTTTAGTAGCTTTCTTATTAAACAAAGTAGGATTGAACGAACAGAAATAAGAACGTCTCATACCGATGGATTTTATCGTCTATCGCGTGCTGTTTTACATTTTTTGTTCCCTTTGCCAAAGAATCAACAGATCAAACGAATTAACCTCTTTAATAATGGAGACAAAAACTTTTCTTGGTTCTTGTTAAATGGAACGTTCATTCGATATTCGTATTTAACTATTCGCTTTAAGCTGCCAGATCGATCATAATGAAATATTAACGAGAAACTGTGGTAGACATTTGGTACGATTGTGATACGAAATCGTGACAATTTATTCAACCAATAGGACAGTTGCATTAAGTCAAATTTGAAAGAAGAAGGAAAAAGACGAAAAAGACAAATTTTAAATAAATACATCATTTTTGATCGATCGCATATTTATACATATTATCATTATACATAACTGTGTCGATAATTATGACAGTTATGGTTTACTTACAATTAGTGTCAAAACAAGTCAATTAAATTAATATTACGATTTATTTTATATTCACATTATTCGTATCACAAAATAAATCATAAAATGAAACATTTTTTTAACTTACAATTAGTCCGCTGTCATAATTACCGTAACAATTACGTAAAACTTTTAAAGCCATGCGTTTCAAGTTTTCTTCCTCGTTGTCAGAATGGAAGAGTGAAAAGTGTTCTTACATTTATTCGAATTACTTACTTAGCTTATTCTCTCTTTGTTTTTTTTTTTAACGTTATCTACGCGTTGCATTAACTCGACGATAATTTACTAGAGAAATGAAAAGAACAAATGCAATTAAACTCGTAATCGATTTCGACGAATATCCTTCTCTTCCCCCAAGGGAACGATCATCTTTTTATCATCAAAAGGAAAAGATAATCGATCGAATAAGTTTCGTTAATAATTAGCCACAATAGGAAGAGTCCTGTGTATTTTAGATAAAACCGATAGAAGGTATATTATATTTATCGTTCGTAAAACACGATTATGGTTGTGAGTATCGATATAACGAAAACTTAATTAAAAGTATCTAAGCGAAATGAAAGAAGGAAAGAAAAAAAAACAAAGAAAAACATAAAAAAGAAAAAGAAACGTCATGGAGGACGACCAATGCTTCAAAAATACAAATAGATCTACAAAGTAAAACGAAGGTAAAGATCCAAGGGTTGTGCTATTAGCCTGTAATACGACATACGTAACATATAAGATTATTTATGAAAATTGTTTTCGGGCTCGTATACATAACACGAATACATAAATACATATATATACACGTCACAATATGCGCGTTCGTACAAAAATGTATAAATGCGTTTGTAAACGCAAATACAAGCGCATTAAAAATGTGCGAACAGAGCGTGGTACTCCACTCTCCATTTTCTCGTCGCGTGTCATTGTCAAGAAATAATTTGTCGAATCGCATTTACAGCCGAGCATAGTGGGTTGTCTCAGTGTTGGAGTGCATTTATTGTGCACAAAAAGTCCCCTACATTATAGATTTGACAAAAATTAACTAAAAACAATTTTGAATCTTCTTCGTTATATTATATCATATATAAATATAATAATAATAATAATTTCAACATAATTCTTACTGCAATACGAATAGAAACGATAAAAGATGAAACAACAAAATGCGTAGAAAGTGAAAATCTGAAACTGCAACATTGACGCAACTCTTGCCACGAGTCATTTGTGTCTACGGGTGTACGTATTCATTTTTTCCAAAGAGAAAAATATGTAAGAAAGACGAGAGAGTACTTATCTCTTGACTCGAGGATTCGTTGAGAATTCGATTCGACGTAAAAGCGGAACACACGTATATATATATATATATATATATATATGCATAGGGAAATAGGAACGTATGTTGTATCGTGCGACTATAAAAAAAAAATCGAATTACGAAGAAAACAAAAGGATATATGTATAGAGAGAAAGAAAAAAATGAAGCAAAAAAAACAAAAGAGAGAGAGAGAGAGAGAGAGAGAGAGAGGGTTCGAAAGCACCGACCCTTCTTTTTAACTCCTTTTTCCCTTCCAACTTGAACTTCCCCCTCACGAGTGTCGCTCTAACAAATTAAGCCACGATTTCGTTGCAAGGGCACTCTATAATAAGGTTGTGATAAGGTTGTGAGATATATACGCCTCGTAGCCGTGCTACGGACGTCACAAGATTTTAAATTTAAGCTTAGCGAAGAAAATAATAAATCTATCTAAATAAACAAAAAATAAGATCAAGTAAAAAATGTAGATGTAAAGAGAGGGAGAGAAAGAGAGAGAGAGAGAGAGAGAGAGAGAGAGAGAGAGAGAGAGAGAGAGAGAGAGAGAGAGAGAGAGAGAAAAGGACATCGAATGAATTGATTATCGATAATACAGCGAGGCTCGAACGAAATTTTTGTAATGTTATTTATTAAAGTCATTTCTATCTACGGTCCAAAACGAACATTTCTTCTTCTAGAGTCTCTCTTACATTTTTACAATTTATATCATTAATCTTTCTACGAGTCATTCGTGAAAATATTGTCGTTGAATAATGAGAAAAATTGAATTCTGCAAAATTTCTCCATTTATAAAATCAATTGGTTGTTTTTCTAAAAATATGTTTTATTAATTCAATTTTCCTTTGACTATTGACACTATTGTATTATATTAATTCCAACTCGTTCTAAGAAGATATACAAAATGTTCAATTGAATGAAATGTTTCGATAAAGTCTTTTTTCGTTAACGCATTCATATAAATTATATTCAACTCTTTTATTTTAACCCTTCACCTGATAACGAGAAAACGTATGATAATGTAGCGAAATATGTTTTATGAATTGAGAAATTTTATTTCTGTCTGACTGTCTCTCTCTCTCTCTCTCTCTCTCTCTCTCTCTCTCTCTCTCTCTCTCTCTSTCTCGTCTTCTTTCTCCCTCTCTCTCTGAAACAAGATTTTGGAAACGCATAAATCTATTATTTGACGCTATATGAATATACATATGTATTATACGCGAGCATACGTAAAACATATGATATTTACATAGTATACAATATGTATTATATCGTACCATGTATTACAAATCATCCGGTCGATATTCATATTTATATCCATCGGGCGATTCGCTAATCGAAACGTTTATCAATATGATAACCAATCGAATATTCGATCTTATAAATAGGGAAACAAAAATCTACATTACGCGCCGCGTTTAGAAAAAAAGACTTTTCTTTGAACTCGATAAAATGAATATAAAAATCTTAACGTTCCGATTGGTGAATCGAACTATCACCGTCTACGTTGCAATGGACGTCCGATTTTCAAATAAGAAAAAAGAAAAATAAAACACACACACACAAAATGCTATATATACTTATATGATATATATATCTAGTTAATAAACTAATACTCCGTTGGTTGTGATTTACAAGTATAGCAATACAGAAGCTCGAGTATGCATGTGTAATGTGTAAACACGTATGGAGCTTCTTTTCCTCGTTTGTACATATACATATATATATATATATATATCTAAATACATATAGATATAATTCTTCGTACAGAGCCCGTTTCTCCGCCATTTACTTCGAGTTATCGAAATAATATATCGAATGATATGAACAATGCGAGGGAATAGGAGAACGAGGTTCCAAAATCGGGAGACCATTTTGATCGTCGAGGAACTATGCTTGTTAGATTAATATTGTTATACGTGTACATATATCATATATAGGAATGTTGATTGATAAAAAGATTACAATTATAGAAAATGAAAGATTATTGACGAGACTTATCGTTTTAGCAAAAAAATGAACGAAAGATTTTTCGAAAGGTTTTACGAGAAGGTATGATATGACGCGACGTTTCTTCGTTTTCGCGCAACATTCAAATCGATTCCAAAAAAAAAAAAAAAAAAAAAAAAAAAAAAAAGGGAAAAATAATCGCGAATCAAATATTACGTGCGGATAGTTGTATCTGCATAAATACGTAATTACGTATCTATGTATATTAGAATATTTCCTATATCGATAGCGAAAGAAAAACTCGAAAAAGATTGAACAAATAAAATGAAATGAAAAACGAACGAAAGATTGATTTAAAAGAAAGAAGAAAAAAATGGGAATAAAAAAAGTAAACCGAAGAACGTTTATCGTGCGATAAACTGCCTGCCGCTTGAACATGTAAATATATAACAAATATCCGAATAATAACATATTATAATAACGTTGTCGAAGAGAGAATTTTGTCGATAATATCTGAGCGTACAAGGAATATCCAAATATTTTATTCCTTTAATCAAAGTATTCGCGGATATAATAATGCGCAATTATTTCCGAACTAAATCCCCGCTACGAATAGGGGCTAGGAATACAAGTTCGAATAGAATTACGTGAACTCGGTGATAAGCGAAAGATGAAATGATGAAATGAGACACTAATTACAATGGACATATACAGCATACACGATCCGATTACTCGTGTCAGATGCAACCTACCTGTCACCCACCAATTGTTACAATCTTTTATTTTCATTATTAATATTATTATTATTATTATTATTATTATTATTTTCCACTCTGTTTTTGTTCTTCGATTGCATTCCAAAAAAATGATCGTACGTTATCGATCCTATCCTTTTAAACGTTTCAATAATTAAACTATTACTTTATTATTAATATTATTATTAATATTACACTATTATATACGTCGTTTCGAATAAATGTGAACGAAAAGAGACATATACGACCATTGATTAAAAATATCCAATATCCGCTGCACACAAAGATTTTCATTTGGAAATTTTTTCTAATCCATTGTTTTTTCCCCTCTGTTATAATATTAAAACCATAAAAGAGTTGGCGATTATTGATATTAGAGAATACTATATCGTCGATTTTTCTATTTTTCTTCCGACCCTTTCACTCATCTTCATATTTTCGTCTATTTCGTTGTCATTATTCTAGCACCATCATATTCATTTCCAGAAAATACGGAAACGGAATATAAAAGAAGCTTTGTCCGTTCCAACATATTACCATCAACGACCAAAATGCTAAAGAATATAGAAACAAGCGAAAAGTGTGTACGCTTTTCATTCTTTTCACGATCATCGTAATATTTGATAACGAGGTTTGAACAAAAATAATGAAGCCAAATCATATTTTAAGTATTATGACTCAACTCATTTACTATCGTGAATTCGTGTGTTAATTGCGCCTACATGATGTGTATGTTAACATTGTGTGTAACATCGTTATCTTAAATTTCTCGAACGAGCTTGAAGGAAGATTGAAAAAATACAAGTTTCGAGATAGAACAAAGCAACAGTAACAGTAGTAGTAGTAGTAGCTCCATAAGTACCAGTAGTACTACTAAAAACGTACTCAACCGTTTTTCCCTCACAATAGAGCAACATCCCTTACTAGAGCAGCGTCGCGTACAAAAGGGCAAACTTTGCATAACAACGAAAAAGCATGCAATTAAAAATTTATCTCGTTCGTTCACTTTTTAGAGTTTAGTTCACTTTTTAAGCAAACCAAAGCAAACCAAACCAGTAGAAATCTGATTAAAAGACATGACGACAATTACGAATATTCTACTAGGACGTGTATCGCATATTACACACATCTTATGTTGATATATTGCATCGTGCAAAGAAAAGTTTGTGAACGAAAAACGTACACATATTGCTGAGGAATTTGATCCAATGCTTACCCTTAATAGATCAACGGTAACGTATATAAATATCGTACATAAATTATCGCTTACCTACGATAAACCTACATTTTTAGAATCATATATACTTATTCGTAGTTACAAAAGTCCATATATTATAACGTGCAAATCGCGATTAGATCTCGACTGCTTTCTGTCACTCGCTTTGCGTGTCGTTCCTTTTGTTCGATTAGTTTAACGTTCAAGCGATAAGTGGGTGCATTTTAAAAGTAATTCTAGGATCGTTAACTATTTTTTTTTCCTTTACACTCTTTTTTATTTTGTCCACGATTATTAATGATTCGTGTTAGTTATTTACGATAGAGCTGAGAGGGAAGAAGGCGTCGACGGCAAAATATTAACGGATTAGTTCGATTAATTGTCAGAGTAATAATTACTATAATTATTGTAGTACATTTTAAGTAATATTGTATATACATATTCTATTACTATTGTTTATACAATATATTCTTTATTTCGGTCCTTCATTTGTTTGACCTACTTGCGAAAAAGTAAATTCGAGTAAATTTCGAGTAAATTGGAAAGAATTGCGGACGTGCACAAACATAGGATTAGGAAGGGAGTAGTAAGTAAATAAATCCAAAACGAACGTTTACCGCGCGCATTCCCATGGAAACGCGCGATTCTCTGTGGAAAAGAAAAAACTAGATTAGTGAAAGACAATTTCTTCTTTAATAGCAAACAAAAGACAGTTAAAGAACCACGTGTGGACAATTGCAATGATAAGGAGAACACAGGAAGAAAGTGATCTTATAATTCTTACCATATCTATCAAATTGAATGAGGGTGGGAAAGAAAAAAGGAAAGGAAAAAGGAGAGGAAAAAGGAAAAACGATACCGGTTTCATTCGCGAGACATGAAATATCGAGATTAACCTTTTCGTCAGGGTTTCGTATAATCGTAGCAACAAATCTGACCTCGATTTCAACATTTTCTTTTTTATTTGCAAAGTAGGTAAAGCAACGTTGCACCGCGAGTTATACATATTTTGTCGAAGTATATTAGAGTCATTTTCGCCAAAGTTAATCTTTTTGTCGGGAAAATACAATATAGTTAAACTAAATCGATTGGCTGATGTGAACTCGAGCACACAGACCGAATTTTACTTTTGATTTTAATTTCCTTTGGTCTCGCAGCGATATATGTAGGAGTATAATCGCACGAAGCCGATTGCATAAATTAACTCGCACGGTTTCGTGGATCTCGCACGGTTTCGTGGATCTCGCACGGTTTCGTGGATCTCGCACGGTTTCGTGGATCTCGCACGTAGATAAGTCATTTCAAAGCTGAAAGCGAGAGAATGCACTTTAATACCTATGCTAATGGTCGGTTCTACGAGCTCGAAACTCGTCCTTTATCCTTTTATCGCAAAGACTCGATAACTTTATTACCTTCGTTATCTTTCTTCTTAATATAATATATCCGATCATAAATCATTAGATGATATAGTTATGCCATTCGTTGTTTTTAACTCGGAAAATTGTAATTAGATAAAAAAAAAAAAAAAAAAAAAAAAAAAAATTTTCATATATCTCTTAGTTGAAAAGTCCAATGGGGATTATGGCTATTGTATACGAAATGATTGATCAAGCAAATGATTGATCAAGCAAGCGATTGNAAACTCGTCCTTTATCCTTTTATCGCAAAGACTCGATAACTTTATTACCTTCGTTATCTTTCTTCTTAATATAATATATCCGATCATAAATCATTCATTAAACGAGATATAACGCGGGTTATTGACATGCTGCTGCTGCTGGTACACGTAAAAAAAAAAAAAAAAAGAAAAAAAGTTTCATATATCTCTTAGTTGAAAAGTCCAATGGGGATTATGGCTATTGTATACGAAATGATTGATCAAGCAAATGATTGATCAAGCAAGCGATTGAAGAATTCATTGGTAATTGGGACAAAATTGAAGAAGGTTTTTCTAAGAAAAATCGTGACATGCAAGTAATTCATGAATTCATGAATTCTTATTGCCTTTAAAAATAATCTAAGTATATAGAATATAAGACGTTTTTAGCGTGGACATAGAAATGAAGAATCTTGAACGATCTTGTAATTTTGTCTTCGTAGATAAAAATGAATTGGCCGATAATCGTAACGTAAATATCGGATATAGGAAAAAAGGAAAGCTAATGATCGGATATTAATTAAGTTGGCAATAATGTATAGATCCTTTGTAAAAATGAAGTCGAGAAAGTCCGAAGAATTGATTGCCGGGGTCATCCCCGCGGCAACCGATGGGCAAACACAAATAAGGGAAGCATCGAGCAGTGTTCAGTTGGAAAACTAGCCTTAGTTCGGGAAGCGAGCGATATCCTCGCGTCGCCGAAAATCGAGCCATCAATAACTTTGAGTAATCTCACAAGTAAGGCCTCGGTAAAAAAGAATGTCGAAAGTGAAGGAATAATTCTCGACCATGAACTTAACATTTCCTATTTGTCTCGCTTCGATCATTATTTACGTTTTTTTGCCAAAGTCCCTCCTAGTCGATGGTCAAGGAATAGAAGAAGTACGGAGGAATAACGAACGAACACCGCCGAATAATTCCAGGCCGGTCAATATTTGTAGGTATAATTAAGATAAAGAAATAAAAAGAGATAATTGCTTTGTTTGTTTTTTCTCGACGATATTTGCAGTCGTGATCAACGACGAGAGCAACGAGATAGCTAACGCAAGCATAGAGGCAGCCTTAAAAACGCTTCGCGATAAATACCATGGGCATTTAGGGCGCGTTTATTCGGTCCAAGCGAACGGATCCGATCCTCAGGAATCTCTCCATCGAATATGCGATGCTTGGGAAAAAGCGATCGGCAAAGACACCGCCGGCGCCGTGCCGGACTTCGTTCTATCGACGGCGATTGCCGGTTGGAGCGTCGAGGCGTCCAATTCCTTTTCCAGTGCACTCGGTTTGCCAACCCTGTCCGCTCAATTTGGCCAAGAAGAAGACTTACGATATTGGAATAACTTGGACAATGAAAAGAGTTCTTATCTCGTCCAGGTAATGCCACCTGCCGATTTGTTGCCCGAGATGATTAGACGATTAGCCATTTACCTTAAAGTCACCAACGCAGCTATACTTTTCGATCGTAATTTCGACATGAGCTACAAATACAACAGTCTCTTGCTGAACGTACCTACGAGACACGTGATTAATAACATTGCTCAAAATGTCGAGGATATGAAGGAACAACTTTCGCGTCTACGAGATTTGGACGTCGTTAATTATTTTATTCTGGGAGACGAAAAAACTATTAATATGGTTCTTCAAACCGCGGAAGTTTTAAATTTTATCGGTCACAAGTACGGTTGGTTCGCCTTGACTTTGGATAAAGATATTTGGCCAAATTGCAATTGCAAAAATATCACTCTCCTCTTCGTGAAACCGGAATGGAAAGAGATAGAGAGTAACAAGGGTTTCGACAAATCTCTTCAAGCTATTCTACCTAGTCCCTTTTTATCGTCCGCTTTTTATTACGATTTGACCTTGCTCGGCGTTGAAAGTATGAAATTCGCGATAGAACAGGAAGATTGGCCGCTCGAACCCTTTCACATTAGTTGCGACGATTACAACGGTAACAATACACCTAGCAGGAATTTTGATTTTCTCGAGAAACTTCGGATTACGTCGAAAAATCTAACGCCAAGTTACGCTGCTTTCCAATGGGGCGAAAAGAACGGACAACACGGTGCCGATTTTAGGATGTCCATCAATTTGGTCTACATCGAGAAAGAGACGCTAGTTTCCACCGAGAATACCGGAAGTTGGTCGGCTGGGATAGATACGCCACTGGAGGTACAATACACAATCCTAATATATCTAATTCGAAACACATATTTTCTTTCCTACACGGCATTTAATTGAATGTTAATATCAATGAAGGATTTGAAACTTGTCTTGTTCTAAGGTGACCAACAACATTATCGTAAACAGCACTGCAGTGACGAGTTACAGAATCGTCACGGTGATCCATCCACCGTTTGTTATGTACAAAAATGAAACCGGCGAGTGGTATGGCTTTTGCATCGATTTGCTCAACGAGATACGACAAACCGTCGAGTTCGAATACGACATACGAGCAATAGATAATTACGGTGAGATGAACGAGAATGGTAGTTGGAACGGTATGATAAAAGAGCTAATAGAGAAACGAGCTGATATCGCCCTCGGTACTCTTTGGGTTATGGCGGAAAGAGAAAAAGTCGTTGACTTTACTGTCCCTTATTACGACCTCGTTGGTTTAACGATAATGATGTTGAAACCAAAAACTCAAACGTCCCTGTTCAAGTTCCTCACTGTCCTAGAAAACGAAGTTTGGTTTTGCATACTCGCTGCTTACTTTTTTACGAGCTTTCTCATGTGGGTATTTGACCGTTGGTCACCCTATAGTTATCAAAACAATCGTGAAAAGTACAAGGACGACGAGGAGAAGAGAGAATTCAATTTAAAAGAATGTCTTTGGTTTTGTATGACCTCCTTGACACCCCAGGGTGGTGGCGAGGCACCGAAAAATCTTTCGGGACGTCTCGTCGCTGCTACTTGGTGGCTCTTTGGATTCATCATAATCGCCTCTTATACGGCTAATCTTGCCGCTTTTCTCACCGTTTCTAGACTCGATACGCCGATCGAATCTTTGGACGATCTTAGCAAACAATACAAGATTCAATACGCTCCTGTTATCAATTCTGCGGCCTATATTTATTTTGAAAGGATGGCTCACATCGAGGCAAGATTTTATGAGTAAGTCGAAAAACCAACCATAAATTCCATTATCTTCTAGGATCTTATAGGATGATTTTCCCCCATCTACCTATTTCTTGTCAATTTTCAATTTGCAGGATATGGAAGGATATGAGCTTGAACGATAGCTTGACGGAAGTCGAAAGGGCTAAATTGGCCGTCTGGGAATATCCTGTCAGCGATAAGTACACGAAAATGTTTCAGGCTATGAAAGAAGCTAATTTCCCCGCTACCGTGGACGAAGCAATTAGGCGAGTTCTTCGTATTGATTCTAACAACGAATTTGCTTATATCGCAGATGCATCCACGATTAAATATCTCGCAATGACGAATTGTGATGTTACCCAAGTGGGAGAAGAATTTTCGAGGAAGCCTTATGCCATTGCAGTGCAACAAGGTTCACCGTTGAAAGATCAATTTAATAATGCGTATGTGTCCTATTAACTGAGCATATTTCTTTATATACATATATACTGGATATATTTAATAAGTCATTTTATTTTTCATCACATGCAGCATTCTAATTTTATTAAATAAGAGAAAATTAGAGAAACTAAAGGATAAATGGTGGAAACATAATCCCGAAAGGAAAGACTGCGGAAAGGAAGACGAGCAAAGCGATGGTATTAGCATTCACAACATCGGTGGTGTCTTCGTAGTGATTTTCGTAGGGATCGCTTTCGCTTGTATAACATTAGCTTTCGAATATTGGTGGTATCGTTACCGACCAAAAGTCGCTAGAGCCTTTAAGCAAACCGTCTCATCTCCGAACGGCAAAACTGCCAAAGCCATAAGACCAATAAGATTTAATCTACAGCCGGCACCAACTCACGGCTTTCTTCAAGCCACTCGATTTAAATCGAGGTTTTGAATTTTCTCACTTTCGTGAAGATACATTTCTAATCAAATTATACAGGAACGTGAATTTTCTCCTTAGAAAATTATTATACTTTATATTATATTAACTTTCATATGATAATGCATTATCATACCAATGCAATCACATCCAAGTCAATATAGAACTGTATTATATAGAACATTATCTTTCTCAATATAAATAAACTATTTATTTTTTCTATTGAATTTGCATAAATATTTGAGAAATATTTGAGAAATATTTGAGGAACATTTAAGGAATATTTCATTTCGGGACACGGGCCGCGTGTACAAAATCTACAAGAGAACATTTATAATAATATATGTGCGTGTGTATTTATATTTTATTTTATCTATTCGATTTCAAAAAATTCCTCTTTGATCAAACTCTCAGTGGTAACAAACAAAAATTTATTTCACGCTATTGCTTTATTATCTTTATCTAAACATTTATAATCTACGAAGAAAAAGATTCTAGCAATAAAATAGAATAGAAGAAAAATCTATCTTTCCGATTAATAAATAATAAGATGTATCTATTTTCTCGAATGAAATGAATCTATTTTAGGAATGAAAAGATAAGAAAATACAATATATCATTTTAAAATTGGCGCTACGAGATACGATAAACCGTATATTTCATTGGTTGTTATATCTCAGCTGGAATCAGCCAATCAGCTTAAATTTCTCTGCTCCGCATGGTGGACAGCAGCGCGATAACTTATTGAAATAGGTTAGGATCTTTCCGTTAAGTAATATACACTACATGAGTATATTCTTATTTTGATAAATGCCGATTTAAATAAAACATAACTATACGATGTAATTTTGATTATAATTATTTAAGACTAAAATCTTAATCATTTTTACCTTTCAAAGTAATCTTGTAATTGCAAATATCATTTTTGTCGAGATATTAAATATATTAAATATAGTAACACACATGTTTACATTTAAAAACACATTACCAAGATACAAATAATTATTAGATTATTATTTCCTTTTTTCTACGTAGAGATAGAAACAGCAAATATTAATATGCAGAATGCAACTTTAAAATCTCGTATTTTGAGATCATTGTGCAATTGTATGATTGACAAACAATTTAATAGACATTTCGGTGACAATGTCAAAAATATCTTGGAAAAAGAGAAAATCATTCATCCTTATCGCAAATTGCATCCTTGGAAATCTCATGAAAGTTTTTCCAAGTATTTGTTAAAAAATATTTTATACAACAAAGGTTTGGAAGTTATTAGCATGTATAGTTAAATGATTTAAATTAAAGTTTACAGGAGTATTACTTTAATAATTAAATTGTTATTTCTTTGCAGATGGATTGGTTGCAATAAATAAACCATATGGAATATCTTCTAAAACGTCAATTATTATAAACAAAAGGAATCCTGATATTTATGCTACAGTACCTAATGGAGTAGATTATACCTTAGACAGTAGTATGGAATTTATTGCTAAGGAATTAGGATACTCTAAATTAGTTATAGTTAAAACACCAGAAAAGTAAGTTATCTACAAACAAAAATATTGAATATATTTAAAAATTTGTATCTTGTAAAAACAACAGGTATATGAGCGGTGTAACACTGTTAGCAGCAAACGATACAGTACAAAAAGCTATCAATTGTTCTTACATAAAATCAATAGGAGAGAATACTTTGAATAAAACATATTGGATTGTTACTGTAAGAGTACCAAATGAAATAAAAGGACACAAACGCTTGTGTATGAAGAAACAGTTTAATTCGTCTGGATCCCAAAGCAAGGTAATTTTACATCGTACCGATATATGATATATATTATATGATAGATGATATTAAATTTTACTTTAAACATTTACTTTGTTTTCATTTATAGATACTCATAGAAGAGAAATGGAGTGAGAATGCGAAGAAAAAAAGAAAAATCAAATTATTAAATATCCAATTTAAAATCATTTCCAATTCAACTAATAATTTAAGTTCCTTAATAGAAGTAAAAGCATCGACTATCAAATGGCACGCTCTAAGATTGTTTGCTTCTACCAGATTATATGCTCCAATTTTGGGAGATAATTTATACGGATCAAGAATACATAAAGTCGCAGGCGAATGGTTATTGGTAAATCCATTTGCAAAAGTAAATAATTATTTACCAGCAATTAGTTCTGAATTATTAGAAATCTTATATTTAAAGAAAGCTAAGCAAGAATTAATACCTTGCCATATTCACGCACGAAGCGTATTTTTACCAAATATCTCAAAAAATGAATCTTTGACGATAGAAGCACCCTTAATACCACCATTAGACTGGACTTGCAGGCAGTTGCAATTTAAAAACATACCAGAATTAGAAGAAAGTACAGAGTGCAATGTTTCGTTGCAATCTTGACGGGTACAAAGCCCCCACACATAATGGAATATTTTCATCCTAAATCATATTATATTTGTAAATCAGAAATGATAAAAAAGATCTCTTAACATAATCTTTATTAATATTGTATAATATTAAATTAACAAACGCAATAAAGTTAATGACTCAAGACATGTTTGCCTTTTAATATTCTTCTCATAAGAATTCTTCTACCTTCAGGCGTTGACATTCTTGCATGCCACCCTAATCTCGTAACGCGTTTGTATTCGGAAGGTTTTGGAAAATTATACCTCGGTTTTGTCATATAGAAGAATTTTGTTTTCGATGCAAAATTCCTTTGACACTGATTCGGTCCAAGTGCTAAATCCAAGAATCGAGCGAACCCATTGCTATCCATAACCAATTTGTTACCTCTATTTTGGGATAAAATATTTTTTAAAAGAATTATTATTTTTTTATTTGGATATAATGATATTAGAAAAGACTAAATTACTTACGGCAATGCATTAAAAATGTTAGAGACCAATCTAGCAAACATCTTTAAAACTTATATCAACTACTCGATAAAATAACAAATCCGGAACTAACAATTGTTATCTTACTTAGAGGTTATAATTGTTGTTAAAAAAGTATCTCGTTCAGAGATGGCGCTTTCGAAGCGCCAACATTGGCGGCAAAAATAAAAAAGTATTATTTTATATATACGCATATTATATAAATAATATATTATTTATAAATAGTAATATATTATTTTATGCATATATATATATATATTGTTATATTTCATTTAAATAAATAAAAATAAAGAATTGAATGAATCCATATATTATGTAGAGCATTAATGAAAAGTTTCATTGTAGATACAAGTTTTTTAACTGTAGCAGATATGTATTTAACAAACTGCAAACTGATAAAAGTGCGATCGTGATTGTCGCACACGTCAATAATTCATAATACATAAATACACAATATTGAGAATAATAATAGAATGATTTGAAAATATGTACATACATATTTACGTAAAGATGATTCAGCAACTCGTAATATTCTTAATGTGTTAGTAATTATCAAACATAGGTCACGCTAATATAATTACCGAAATATACTTTCATATCGATCATGATATTCGTTCAACTATATCTAAAAGTACAAGACTCAAAATCGAATAGTCTTTCGATTAGTTGTTATCTACTTTTTTTTCTTCGAATTATACGAACTTGCGAATTACAAATTATGATGAAATATAATATGTATACGTACATATGTATGTGTATATGCGAATAATATTCTCGTGCACCCATTTGCCACGTGTTTACGTACCCGCTAATTACGTAGATCACGCTCTCGATCCGATCTTTTAAATACCCTTGCTTTCACGAAGTCTTTTCAAAAGACTTTGAAGATGGCATTAAACTAGCTTTCCTCAATATTGTTTCATAATTCTTTCCGAGATATGGGAAATTTAATAGATGATATGCAAACTAATTTATTCATGCATATGCGGATGTAATCTTGTTTTCTTACGTTTATGATAATTTTGTTGACAGAACAAAGATGTATTTTAAAAAAAAGAAACAAAAAAAAACACCTTTTCTCCTTTTCATACTTATCTATTTAATATATTTTTGTATAAAATATATAAACTAACAATAAAATACATATTCATGTATACAATAATGGATCACAGGAGTACGAAGCTTTGCATTATAAGCAAAGATTAATGATTTTAAATTTATAGGGGGAATCGGTACAAATATTCCTATGAGTAATGTATTATATGAGTAAGGGTCATTATCGACTTGATACGCATTTTCTTGTGTTCAATCGATTTTTTCCCTTTTTTCATAAATAACATTAATTTCATTTTATATTTGGCATAGAAACGCACAAAAACTGTTCACTTTAACACACCCGGCCAGAAATCAGGTTTGCCGATACGTGGTACTCCGATCCTTTGTGATTCTGGTTTAACGAAAAAAGATAGGAGTTGTGTAATTGGAAGGTGTTACCATTACATGCTTCTGCAGAAGCCAGGTGATCCGTTCTATTCGTCCTAATACGCGCATAACATTCGTAGAATTAGAAGTGCGAATAATAATATGTTGTACTCGTTTAGCGACTCCTTTAATATCCCCTATCGATATCAATACTGTTTTAATAAAGAAACGACTATTCAAATAATACGATTTATTATTTCACGAAAAGAGATTTCTCTTTATAAAAGGAACGCTAATTGCAAGTTTTACCTTGCACGTAAATACCTCGCGTAATCTATTATGAGGGAAAAAAATCTAATTTTTACGTAGTCGTAGAAAGCGTCACAAGAGAAAATCACACAAGAAATCTTTTCGAAGTAAGTAAGTTCGAAGTGATTCATTGGCAAGATTTTTTAAATTAAAAACTTGAACAGCATATTAGTACACACGTGTTGGAACACAACATTGTTTAATATCTTTATAATTATTATCGATTCTTCGATAAGATAGACACAATCAATCGACAAGAAATGTATAAATGTAAAAAAAGAGCAAAAAGAAAAACAACAAAATTAAAAATAATCTTTTTTAATGCTATTAATAGGATGCAAGTCATCCTATCATGTGTATAATTGGTTCAAGATGCCCAAAGAACGCAAGAAAGAACGAATTAATATAAAAGAAATCTGTTTTGCAATTAGATTTACGAATAAGAACAATATACGAAATAAGAAATATTACGGAGACTGCTATGAAATTATAAAAACTAAAACTATCTTTATATTATGTGAAGTCCAACTATCCAACTACATTGGATAAAGTGAGAGTTTCGTAACGCATAATTGTTTTCAATATTGTTAAGCATTGGTCATCAGAAAAAAATATTTTTCTATAAAACATTCTCACTATTGGAGGATCAGTTTTATTCCTAACTCTATACATGTATTTGCATTTTTGAAGTTGCATTATTTCTTATGCTCTCGGGACAAAATGAATTACCCACATATACATTTATTTTCTACTGGAATAAAAAATCTGATAATAATTTTGACATTATTTATTTTGGATGGTAATGTTGAAGTAAATACTTGTACAGAAAGGAAAGAAAACTATCTATTTGGTCGGTGAGAATCGCACTCACGAATTAATCTATCCTGGACATAAGACATAATGACATTGAGTTCTCTTCAATTACGGTCGGATTAGCAGTGCACGAGGGGACACCCCCCTTCCGTACAGAATCCGTACCCAGTGTCCCTTGCACGTTCTCTCTACCTCGCGCACAATCTGCCACGGCCTTTGAAACGCTATATAAAGTGACAAACTTCCTCGGTGACTCGGTATTAGCGTTAACACTGTATCACGATACAACCGGCTGTTGCTTTCTCGTTGGTTCTTGGACTCGGTCTACGTGGAGTCACGAACAATATCACGATAACATCTCAACAATATCAATCATTTGAAGAGGTTCTCCTATTTTTTTCATCTTTTCGAGTGTGCCAGTGATTTTTCCCTCTTCCTCTTCCTCTTCCTCTCTTATTTGGTACCGATCGTTACTCTAATAGACGCCAAATGTGCCTAATTGCAAGAGTATAAGAAGTAATTTTTGTGTAGTTGCACAAAGATTACGATTAATATTTTTTAATTGGTAGAAAAAAACCAGAAAGAATTTGAAAAGTGTGATATTTGGAAAATTCATCAAAAAGTTTCGTCACGAAATGTATTTTTTTTATATTACCAACTAAATGCATATCCTACGTATTATATGCACGCCTTGTTTATTCGCGATCGCGATTTCGAAGATATTTCGATGATATTTCGACATACAATGACCCTTTTGGCGTTTTTACGTAAGGACGAATTTAGGTTACTCGTCGTTTATTACCACCATGCGAGTATGCCGTTGACTGTACGATACTGTGCACACTTTACACGCTAATCGATTGAGGAGCATCCTCTACATACGCACATAGTACATATTATATGAAGTTTCAAAAATTTTCTTCTATTGTTTTCTCCCTCCTATCTTCCAATTTTTATCTTAATTTTAGTTATTTTAACAAAGGAAAAATATTTCTTCATAACATAAATAAATCTTGAACAAAATTATTATCAGCATTTGTGTGTGTGTGTGTGTGTGTGTGTGATAAGCGTGCGCAATCGTTTAATTTGTGTTCTTATGTTTAGTAACACGTTTATCCAATCGAATCTAAAATGAAGTAATATCTAATATACTTATGTTTTTTTCAAATCTTTCCTTAGAGATCGGTCGATCGAGTCGTGACAAAACTTTTGCCCCTGGCATGTGTGTGCACGTATCTTTATTTTTCCTTTATCGCTTAAGATAGTGTAAATTAGAATAGATTATGGTTTTATTTTCATTTTTGAAATGAAAAAATTATCAATTCAAATTAACTCATTTTACAATTAGGATTTTAATAACTATCTGTAGATATTGTATCTTATTAGATTATACTAATTCAAATTTTTGTAATCAAACTCTAGCAATTATTTTCAACGTTAGATTTAAATCGATTTTATATTCTTGTTATGCGGTCATTATGTAATTATTAGCGTATTATCGACGGTTAGCAAATAATTCTTTTTCTAAGAAGGAGATAAAATGCGATGAAACGTGTTCCCAGTCGTTCGACAAGTATTTAAAATATTTCAGAAGATCAACGAGATAATGTCGAATTTATTAAAACGATCGTAGTTATTTTGAGCATTGAATTTATAAATTAAATTGGACAAGTCTTCATTGAAAGAGGAAAAAAAAAACGATAAGTTGAAGGATATGTAGCGGTGTTAAAGTTTCATTGTGAATAATATTACAGTAGAAAAATGAAGATAGAAAGGATTTTGACTGTCATATACAATATATACATATATAAGCCCAATATTAATAAACTGTTAGAATAATTATTTCTACTTTGCAGGTTGGTCAATCATAAATATGAAACGTCTCGTCGGACTAATTTGTATGATACTAGTTATGAATCTTCGAGATTCTACGGCTCTTCGAATGGGATCAACGGATTACGAAGGTTTGTTATAAATGCTTTTTAGTCTTTTAACTTTATTCCGTCGTTTCTCTTGTTCAATTTTTTCTATTTAATGTAATATACCTTATATATACCGCATTATATTCGGTATTTAAAGTTTGATCGATTAATATTGCTGGTTTTTCCATTTCATTATTAATTATTTGTTATTAAAAAGTAATTTTTGTTAAAGTATTTTTGTAATTTTTGTAAAAGAAATTTTCACGAAAACAATGTCAACATTTTATAACATCATTTCGATTATCGCGTGTCTAATTTTCTCGCACCACATTTCAAAATACGATCGATGATTTCTAATGAAACCTTAAATTATCGATTATCGAGATATACATTGAAGATTTGCATAATATGTGCAAAGATAAATATTGTATGTATTTACGTGTTGCCGTTTCAAATTATTGCGAATCTATGAAGCATAAATTAAGAGATCTGTTTCCTTTTTTTTTCTAATCGTTTATTATCTAATAATCTCATATTAAGAAAAATAAAAGATAGATCGTGTGAACGATTATGCGTTATATTCTGTTAACATTTGCATACATATTCTTGATATGTAAATACATTTCGTTTTAATCTTATGACGTGGAAATAAATAGGCGGAAATAAAGGTGGGGGAAAAGGCAAAAAAGAGAAAAAAGAGAAAAAAAAAAGTAAGGTGAGGGTGGTGGCATTGCAATAAACAAACTTGTGAACAAAGAAAAAAAGAGAAATAGAAAAACTGTGATTGTTATCGCGAAAGAAGAGAATTATTCCATTGGCAACGAAGCGAAACTTTGATCTCTTATCAGACATGTCCTTCTGGATGAAGTCCGGACAAGAGACTCTTCAAAGGATCTTGGCTCATCGAGACATCGAGAAACGTGCGAAAAATGTGATCATATTTATCGGCGATGGAATGGGCTTTAGCACTATAACAGCTGGCCGAATTTGGACAGGACAGTCGAAGGGTTACTCCGGCGAAGAGTACAAACTCGTTTTCGAGGATTTCCCCAGTACTGGCCTTTCCAAGGTATTACATTTCCTACTAAATTTAGTAGGATAAATAGGAAAAATGAAACTATTGCATATACATAGCGATTAATTATTATAGTGGACTAATATGTAAACAAAATTCTACAAAAATTTCTTCGATGATTTATTTTATAATATCAATCATTTTAATATCCCACAAATCTTAAAATTCATTCTTTGACATATGTTAATCCACTGTCATAATAACTTGCAAATATGTAAATACATAATTATTCGCAATGAGAAGACAGATAAACGACTTTAATTTTCTTTCTTTCATATGCATACTCGTGCATAATATTATTCCAAGGAGAATTTGACATTGTTTGTATTTTTTTGTTGTACCCATGACGACAACATTGTTCATCTTCTTATCTTGTCGATAGACAAGTCATTAAGAAAAAACAGATATATCACTCGTAATTATCAAATATGGTGGGCACCAACGTTCGATATACGCGAGATAATCTCTTAGTTCGAGTACTTGATTATAAAAATGTCAGAATTGCAAGTTGTTTTACATAAGTCTGAGAAAATATCGTGACACTAAATCACAATGTCAGGAGTCCGCGCGTTTATCTCGTATCAATCTCATTATATTTTCCTGTTTAGTCGGCATAAAACGTGACTAATTGGATATTCTTTCGTTTAAATGTTTATATTTATATGATGTTCGTTCGTATTCATGATTTTATTCTCTCTTTTTCGAGACTATTTTATTACCTACCGATATACACTTATTACCATATTTCAGACATACAACGTTGATATGCAAGTACCAGATTCAGCAGGCACAGCCACGGCGATGTTTTCCGGTGTAAAATGCCGATATCGTGTTATCGGATACGATGCTAATGCACATTATAATCATTGCGATATAGCGATCAATCAATTGAGTAAATTAACCACAATCGCCGATTGGGCTCAGGAAAGTGATATGGACACAGGTGAGTGCGTCTTGTCGTATTATTATTTAAAGCGTTACATCCTCAGAACGTAAGAAACGTGATGAAATATCGTAACTAGAAAGAAAGCAGCGCATTAGCAAAAAGTTTTTATCGCAAATATTTGCGAACCAACGATAAGATTCACTCTAATGACTGATACTTTTTATTTGAAATGCGGCTTGAAACAATTCAAAAGTGCGATGAAAAAACAACAAGACATATCGCAAAGTTTATTTTTCGATTTGTCTTGGTATGAAACGAATTTGACGTCGAACGAAAAATCTTAAAAGATTCCGAAGATTATTTTATTTGCATAGTGGAAAGAAATAACATTCCCATATATCGAATAGATATAATAAGTAGGTACTATAAATCTATATTACTTAACAAAAGGAGAATTCAAAGTAATGCAAACTCGAACGCGATCGTCTTGGATTTGCTAATTTATTAATTCGGTCTACATCAAGCGCCATGGACGTTCGAGTATGTATAATCTGTATTGTATCTGTGTTGAGCCGACCTTGTTAATAGATGCGTCTACCACACAGTGAAAGTACTTACGTTCAATCAGCCAGGGAGGTCGTGGTCCGACCTTCTCTCTTATCGAGGACGATTCTGCAACGTCCATGACTGATTTGTCCATTGGGAAATGAAAATGAATTTGATGCGAGACTCGAGCTGGATCCTCGAAACGTCATACGTTCGATTCTATATCGATTTGTCAATTGGAGGGGGGGGGGTGGTCTTCTCGTCTCTTCGATTCGAATCTTTATTTTGCTACGTTCTTAGAATTCAAATAAAGTTGACCAGTATCGAAAGAAACGCGCGTCGAATCTAAAACCATGGTTGCTTATTTTGTTCACTTGTTTTTACTTTATTTATTAATCATTATTTTTTCTTCTTCTTCTTTTTTTTATTCGGACTTCGCGTCCTGTTATAGCTTTTATTGCTATTTCCGGGAGTGCTTTATTGTTTTTACCACCGAGGGTAGGTTGGTTGCTAGCCTCACCCCCTCGAACCCTCCCACTTTTGTCTGTCTGAGCTTGGGACTAGCTAGATATTAACTAACTAGGCAGAGTCTTGGAATCAACAGCTTACAGTGTTCTCACCCATCCAAGTACTAACAACCGTGCCCAGCGCTGCTTGACTTCAGTTTAGTGATCGAACGAGAACTAGTGCTTTCACCGCGGCTTCGTCCCGTTGACCATTATTTTTTCAATTTACTTAATCTCGTAACGATTGAAAAACAAACAAAAATGGCACGATTTAATTTGAGAAATTAAACAAAGAAATTCAAGAAAAAAGAAGCTCACGTGTACTCGTTTATCACACGTTGCTCTTATCAGTTCAACTACATTTTGAAAATCATTAACCTATTTCTTTGGAGATTATTAAATATATTTTCGTCTTGATAAACTGCCTTTGAATCGTTGTTTCTAGCACGAATACTAATTCAAATTTTATTGTGTCATATTGTCTGTAGGTGTATATAATAATAATAATAATAATAATAATAATAATAATAATAATAACAACAACAATGTTCAGCAATAGTTGATTAAAAAATCGCAACGTTAAGAAAGGTTATATTAAACAAGGATAAAAATGCAAAATCAATCCGGATTATAAAGTCATTTTGTAGGTTTTGTCACTACGACTCGTGTCACTCATGCGACTCCAGCTGGACTCTATGCTCACGTGAATAATCGTGATTGGGAATGCGATACGGAGATTCCACAGCAGTACCGAGAATGCACAAAAGACATAGCGAGGCAGCTTGTCGAGGATGCACCAGGAAATGGTTTGAAGGTACGTTCCTAAATTGATCCTATCCCCATCGTTTCGGTAATTCGTCGAATCAAAGTTATAAAAAGATTTAATTGACAGTTGACAGCCTTTTATAGAAGACATTTCCGGCGTTTTTAGTCGATCTTAACATCGAGTGTCGCGATCGTGACCTCGATTGCTCTTATTCGTGAGAATAAAGATATTAACAAGTTGGATCGATTAAAGCGACACTTTGACAAATTTTCTTTTCAAGATTTTATTTTAAGATTGAGAAACATTAAGAAAATGAATAGAATTGACGCATTCGTCGTATTGAATTCGACGCATTTACTACTTAATAATCTTAACACGTAAAGATAAAATCATTTTATATAAATCGTTTATCGATTCGAGTTTAAGATTAAGCGATTAAAGAGAAACCGATCGAGATTGATTATTTAACCGTCCAATTGAAATAATCAGGTGATAATGGGCGGAGGAGCTCAACATATGGGGATGACTGGACGAAAGTTCGACAAAGGTACCTGTGTCAGAAACGACGGTAGGAACTTGGCTGAGACCTGGTTGCAAAATAATCCCGACGGGAAGCTGGTAACCGAACTTGACGAACTTATGTCTGTAGACATTGGAAGTACCAGTAAGATCATGGGAATCTTTGCACCTAGTCACTTGCCTTATCGCGCAGAAGAGAATAAGTCAGTTCCGTCCTTAGCTAACATGACGATGCAAGCTATTAGATTGCTGAGAAAAAATAAAAATGGATTTCTTTTGATGGTAAGCAATGTAGTGCGTGTGCGTACGCGTGTGCGTACGCGTGCGCGTATGTGTCTCCCCTTCGATAACGAAGAAAAGGAAAAGCAGAAGCAAATGAAAGTAACTTGGGAAATCAATAATTTGTCGATTTCGTCTAGTTTCTTACGAGAATTACAGTTTCCCGGATGTTTCTCAAGGCCATAGTACTTGACTAGATAATTTTATGCGTAACTTTAGAAGTACGTTGATACACCGGCACGGTGACTTTACTTTAACGACTCCATAATCATATATGCAGCACGTGTTACGCGTAGAACACACAAAAGCGATCTATTGTTTGCACCGACTTGATAACGTTATGATGATACTTCAGTATCATCGGATTAAATTGGTAGCATGGATTTATTCTAGTAAATAAATGAAATGACACGTCTTGAATAACTCCGGGAATAACTTCGTTTATACGATATTTCTACTTAAATCAAATAATCAATTACTCGTTCAATTACTCGTTTAATTACTCGTTCAATTATTTAAGTTTCTTTAAATTGATAATCCTCCTTAATATACATATTTACGAGATTATTAATATACGAGAAAATAACTAAATTCAATAATATTTTCAACTCTATTGCATAATCTTCTAATAAAGGGTTAGAAAAGTTACAAAATTATCCATGGGGATAGTTCATGATTCACTAACAGTTCTAGTAGTTGGTATGGTTGGATCGTTAATTCAATGTTCTTCTATCTTTCCTTCTCTCATTCCCTCTAATGGATGATTCGCCTACAGTGAGCACAAATTTCGCTTAACTTGTTTCGTCTGCTTAAATTTCATCGAGTTGTCAAGAACAATCAATTAATGTGCACATAAATACATATAGACATTGAATATATTTTAGATGTACATGTATATTGGTTATAACTACTTACACTGATAATTCATTTATTAGGTCGAAGGTGGAAAAATCGACGTAGCGCATCACCAAAATTATGCACAATTGGCACTTCACGAACTATCCGAATTCGAAGATGCTGTGAGCGTTGCTTTAAAACAAGTCAAACTGGACGAGACTTTGATAATAGTTACCGCTGATCATTCTCATTCTTTCACGATGAATGGCTATCCTGATAGAGGCAACGACATACTTGGTTTAGCAAATAACATAGCTAATACGGATAATCAAAGATATGAGACACTTAGCTACGCTAATGGTCCAGGCTTTTTTTATCATCGTCGAAACGACAGTGAAAATGTTAATGATACTTGGAAAAATTTGGAAGAGGACAGCAATCGTGATAATATATTTTACAGGCACATGGCTGCTCAGTACCTGAAAGACGATACACATGGTGGCGAAGACGTTGGAGTTTACGCTATTGGTAAATATTAGATACTCGCTTATTTGGATTAAGTTTTTTTATGCAGGATGATTCTTGGATTTGGGTCAAGCTACTTATCATTATAAGTAGAAATATTTTATTAAGTAAAGATGTGTATGTGTGACTTACATGCACGAGATATAATACGAAGAACGTGATTTTGTCCATTTTTTCTTAAACAAGTAGAAAATAACTCAAATTTTATTGAAAACGATCTTATGGACAGATAAACGTACTTCTTTGAATAATAGACTGTTTAATTAAGTATTATGGGGTATTATGCGTTGAGTATAATGCGTAGAATTCATAGAGCTAAGGGTTTATGAAATAATCGTATAAAATGTCTAATATCTCGTCAAGTATAGATATATATATGGTTATCAATTTTTATTACAATATTACTTTTATATACATAGGAATAAACAAGGTTATTATTATAAGGTTGCATATTAAAGGTTGCATATTATAAGGTTGCATATTATAAGGTTGCACACTACAATTGCACTGGCAGGTGCACATAAAAAATAAGAAAACTGGAAGATTTAGGACATATTATGCCATATGGTTTTTTTCCCCTATTATTTCTTTAAAGAGCAACAACAGTCTGTCTCAGTTCCAAAAATCATTCTGTATTCTATATTCCATGATTTTATTTATTAATCTTGTGTTGTCTTGTGTATTAAATATCGATTTTATTTTTAGGTCCTTACTCCCATCTCTTTCGCAGTACATTCGAACAAAACTATATAGCTCATGTGATAGCTTACGCGGCTTGTTTTAAAGACTGGCCATCGCACTGCGATAGCGCGTACACTCGATACTTTTATGAATTATCGAACACAAGAGGACGATCAACGGCATCTAATTTTGTTCCTCCTACGTACGCGATATTCGTGATACTTATTTTAATGTCAATTTTGATGAGGCCTTGATAAACGATTAACTCCCTCGCTCATAGCAATCAGCACAGAGTACTACATTTTTCTCCATTCAAAATGTATCAAAGAATTCACGTAACTAACGTATTTATCATTATTATTTATTTTTATCAAGAAATTTATATTTATATTTTATTACCAAACTTTGCGAACATTTTAAATGGGTTTCCGTCAAAGTTGAAAATAAACAATTGTTGTTTGCTCGTCAAAAGGAAATAATTGATTTTTATTTCATATCTGTGACGTAGTTCTTTCATTGTCGACAGGAGAAAAATGTTAGACAATTGTTGATTCTATGCTAAAATTCATCCAACGAGGCCAAATATCAACATTGTGATTCTTATATTGTTAATATATGTAATATTTATTAAACGGTACTGATAGTATTCAACACTTGAATGTATTACATTTTAAAATAGTTTTATAGTATAAGTGGAAACGAGAAATTTAATACATATTCACTATGCGATATTCACTATGCGATACTCACACATACGTCCACATGTATTTATTGTAAACATTTTTTACAAATTGACAATATTACAGAATAATGGAAAATCGCCTGAAATTTTCAAAATTGCGTCTTAATTCGTAATGATATTTCCATACTGTACTATCTTTATTTTATTTCTCCAAATACAAGTCCTTTTTTTCTCATAGTTCTTTTTCTTTATCCATATACGAACTAACAGAAGAGTTGTTCAATGAAGGAAAAATAAACCCTGAGGAAACCCGATGTCGTCTGATTACACAAATATATGTACTTTGCCGCATTTCATTTTATGGGATTTTACGTATTTAAAACGAAAAAGACCTAGCCTAAAGTAGTATCGTACGTGTAGGGCAAAGAGTGTACTATCATTTAAAAT